ATATTTATTTGTTGAGACCATTGGAGTTTCTGGTCAATGGTAGCCTCCAGAATGTTGACAGTGCAGGTCTTGGCAATAGTATTGAATGTCATTGAATATCAATAGGCAGTGGTTAAATTCTTTCATTGGAGTTGATCATTGCGTGGCACAAATATTAAAAGTGTTGTGCCTCACTTTTTAGACATTGCATCTGACTTGAGATGACGTGGCTGTGAACAAAACATTTAACAAGCAAAAATCCCCTTCAACTGGCAACACAATGTTGCCTGGTGAGAAACTTGTCGCACAGCTTCTCAAAAGCATTAGATATGGAAGGAATTTCTCCTAATTATCAGGATTGGCTTCACTGGACATCTCATTTGATTCTGCCACAAGTCCCACCTTAACTTAGACCCTGTAAGATTCCACCCATGATTAAACGTTTCGGGGAAAACATACATTCTGGAAAGTCCCCTAAGAATCTTACATGGTTCAATAAAGTCTCCTCTCATTCTTCTAAACTCCAGTGAGTACAAACCCAAACTACTCAACCTCTCCGCATAATAAAATCCTTCCAAACTCAGGATCAACTCAGTAAATCTTCTCTGGAATGCCTCCAATGCCAGTACACCTCTCCTTTGATAAGGGGCCCAAAACTATTCACAGTATTCCAGCTGTGATCTGTCCAGGGCCTTGTAAAGAACATAGAACAGTACAGCACAGAAACAGACCCTCCAGCCCATCATGTCAGTGCCCACCATGATGCCATTCTAAACTAATCCCATCTGCATGCACAAACAAATCCAAGGTTTAATGCAAGAAACTGTAAAGTGATTAAACTTAGTAGGAAAAATACAGACAGATAATATAAAACAAAGGGTACAACTGTAAGAGGGATGCAGGTGCTGAAGGAATATAATGGGTGTATATTTGTACAAGTCATTGAAAACGACAGGACAGGTTAAGGGAACATTTAATACGGCATGCTCAAGCGAAGGGCATGGAGAAATTAAAGAAGTTATGTTAAACTTGGAAAGGACACTAGTTTGACCTCAAGTTGATAATTGTGTTGTATTCTGGACACCATGCTTTAGGAAATCTGTGCAGGTATTTGAGAGAGTGCAGTAAAGATTCATAAACATAGCCTCGGTACAAGGAACATCAGTTACGTAAATAGATTGGAGAAGCTGGGATGTTTATCTTGGAAAAGAGAATGTTGAGAAGAAATTTTTTATAGGTATTCAAACTCATTAGGGTTCTGGACATTGTAGAGTAGAAAAAATGATCGTGAGCCAGAAGGCACCAATTTAAAATAATTAATAAAAGATGCAACGGTGATTTGAGGAGAAACTTTTCACACAGTGATCAGTGTCTGGAATGCATTGCCTGAGAATGTGGTGGAGACAGAATTAGATTATTGTAGTTTGAATTTGAGTTTGATTTATTGTTGTCACATGTACCAAGATACAGTGAAAAGTATTGTTTTGTGTGCTGTACTGGTAGATTGTACCATACAAAGTGCTTCAGGGTAGCAGAATATAGTGCTACAGCTGCGCAGAAGCTGCAGAGAGAGAGATCAGAACTAACATTTAAGAGACCTGTTTAAAAGTCTGGTAACAGCAGGGAAGAAGCTGTTCTTGAATCAGTTCATACGATTACTCAAACCTTTATATCTTCTGCCCGATGGAAGATGGTGAAAGAAAGTATAACCAGGGTGGGAGGGTTTTTTATTATGTTGGTTGCTTTCCTGAGGCAGTGGGAAGTATAGATGGAGTCAATGAATGGAAAGCTGGTTTGTGTGATGGACTTGGCTGTATTCATAACTCTCTGTAGTTTCTTGAGATATCACAGTGTGATGCGTCCGGATAGGATACTTTCTATGGTGCATCTATAAAAATTGGTAAGAGTCTTTGTGGACACATTGAATTTCTTTAACCTCCTGAGCAAGTAGAGACGTTGTGTTTTTTTGACCGTTGCAACAATGTGGGTGGAGCAGGACAGATTGTTGGTGATCATCTGTGAAGTACCAGAGTAGTATAAGATCCGGTAGACTTCCTGAAAAGTGGCACGATGGAGGTCTCATTAGCTTTCTAGAAAAATGCTATGACCCTGTCACCTCCACATGATTCTGCTCATTGAGTAACATTTACAATTTTTGCAATCCAATGACAGATTTCATGACTCTAGCGACCTTTGAAATATTTGGACAAATGCATGTACAATTCCCCCATCTGTTTCTATTACTGCTTTTAAGTGTCAATCACCAAATCCTGGAAATTTATCTGCCTGAAGCTCCCTTATTTTCTTTATCATCATTTTATTTTATTCAAATTACATTCATTAAGATCTTCCCTGTGACTTATTTCTAGGTTCCCTTGCATTTTGCTATTTTGTCCTTTTCCTCAACTGTGAAAATGGAAACTTAGTAATTTGTAAACATGACAGCCATTTCATTATTATCTGTTGTCATTTCACTCCTGTTTGGCTTTTTAATGGGGTCATATTACCTTTTATCACTGCCTTGCTCGTAATATATCTTCTATACAAAAATTATTGTCGGATCTGATACCTTTACAAGCTTTTTTGTCTCAAATTTGCCTTATTACTTTACCTTTGTGTCTGTCTGTTTATTTTTATAGCTTTGAATTTCCCATTTCATTAAACTTTTGTAAGGCTTCCCTTTTGCAACAAGGATTTGTATTTATAATGCACCTTTAAATTAATGAAAGGTCTCAAGACATTTCACAGGGACAACACAAAGCAGAGATTTGACACCAAACCACATAACATAACATAATGGCTGATGGTTTTAGCAAAGGTGGAAAAAATTGGGAGGTAGTGGGAGGCGATGGCCTAGTGGTATTATTGCTGGACTGCTAATCCAGAGACCTAGATAATGTTCTGAGGACCCAGGTTTGAATCCCACCATATCAGATGGTAGAATTTGAATTCAATAAATATCTGGAATTAAGAGTCTAATGATGACCATGAATCTATTGTTGATTGCTGGGAAAAACCCATCTGGTTCACTAATGCTGTTTAGGGAAGGGAAACTGCCATCCTTACCTGGTCTGGTCTATGTGTGACTCCAGACCCACAGCAATGTGGTTGACTCTGAACTGCCCTCTGGGCAATTAGAGATAGGCAATAAACGCTGCCTGGTCAGTGATGCCCTCATCCTGTGAATGAATAAAAAAAACTCATGAGCATGAAGGAAGAGACACAGAGACATTTAGGATGGGAATTCCTGAGCTGAGGATCTACGTAGCTGAAAGTACAACCACTGATGGTGGAGCCAATAAAATAGGACATGCAAATATTCTATATTTAGATGACCATAAACACCTTTGAATGTTGTGAGCCTGGAAGAGATCATGGAAATAGAGAGGGTAAAGCCTATAAGGAATTCTTTGTAGGATGTGGGTGTCACAGGCGGGACAAGCATTTAATGCCTGTTCCTAGTTCCCTGAGAAAGGGATGATGAATAGCCTCTTGAACCACCACAGTCCACTTGCTGTAGGTAGCTCCACAATGCTGTTAGGGCGTCATTTTAAAAACAAGGATGAGAACCTTCAAAAAAAATAAGGCATTGCCTAACAGGGAGTACAGGGGTAACGAGTGAATGGAAATTTTGGCAGCAGAGTTTAGGATGATCTGAAGTTTACAGAAGCTGATCACCAATGCATGGGAATAATCCAGTCCTCAGGTAACAAAGGTTTTCAACAATGGATTAGCTGAGGCAGTAGCGACCAGGTTGCCTTAGTGATGGTGCAGATATGTGGACAGAAGCTCACCTTGGGGGTCAAATACAGCAGTGAAATTGCACGCTGGTCTAGGCTCAGACATCTGCCAGGGAGATAAATCTAGCAGAATTTTACTGGTCTCTGGTGGCAGGAAAGGAGAAGGGATCTCAGTGCATTTGATTTCTCTTTTCCACTGCTATCCCATTTCCCATCAAGTTAGTTTAACCCTTTTTTTTTAATAATACTAGCAAACCACCCATAAAAACATTTTCCCTGGTGCAGTCGAGCTGCAACCCACCCAGTCTGTCTGGATTCCACCTCCTTTAGAACTATCCCAAGGTCGTAATCACTTATTTTAAAAATTGATACTGTATGTTGCATTGTTGCTTAACTATGATTGACTACACAAGTTTGCCTTTGTGGGAGTACTGACAGAAATGAAGTGTCTCAGTTGCATTTGTCACTCTGTTTAGCAAGGTCTTTAACAACTGACAAAGGTTCACCCAGTATGTTCAGTTTTATTTCTGGCATACCAAGCCATGATTTTACAGCTGGGAGAAGGGTTCTGCGTTCTAAGCTTTGGGGACATAAAATATGCTTTCATTTATTATTGTTTTGGGATTATTATATCCATGCACATCACCCAATATCATTCCCATTTTCTGTAAGGGTCAAATTGCGGTACACATACAGTTTAGCTTCAGCCTCTGATAAACAGAATGCTTGAATGATCCCTGCATACCCAAGATTTGTGTAACCTATCTGAAGTATAAGTACTTGAAAATCAAACATAGTTTGAGCCATAAACCTCTTTGTCAACTTAAAATATTTCCATGTTTGTCATAACTTCTAACAGTGTTCTAATATGTTCCATGGTTTGCTATGATAGGCAAGATTTTCAGCGCACTGTGATACTGAAGTTAGTAGCTATCAGATCTATGTGTGGATCTTTGGTCTTCCTGATCAGCATTTCCCTTGTGAAACCTTCCAAGGGCAGGATTGTATTCATGTTCTTTATAGCTCCATTCATTTTGGTTTGCTTAATAGGTATTAAAAAATTCTTTTACTGCTACCGTGATAAAAATTAATATAACTTGGCTTTATACTGATAACGCTAGCGGAGAGCATTTAAATGACAAAAAAAATAATCGTTTTCATTAACAAGAATAAAAAAAGCTGAAATTGAAATGTGTTACTGGCAGACAGCCAGTTTTCTATGGTGCATTGGAGTAGCATGATGTTAATCGAAAAATCATCCTTTTTGTCCTTTTCTTTCAGGGAACTTCCTCTGCTACCAAGTCAAGGGTCTGCTCTGCCAAAGCCGGTATGTATAACAGCATGCATTATAAGGGCCATTATTATTACACTGCATGACAGATATTTAATATAGGAACAAATCTGCCTGACATTTAGAGCTTCCTCTATGCGGTCATTTCTCTGATTTTATTTGTCCTGGTACTGACAGCGGGCGTTTGTATTTACAGAGGATTCAATACTAATTCAAAATTTTGCTCTATTTGGCAACCGGCTCTTTTCATTGCTGTCCCATTCTATTCCTCTTGGGAGAGAAATGGACTTCAAACTCTCCCATGGCTTCCATTGCCAATGCTGCTTGTTGGCTCAAGAACTGATATGCGCTGCCTGTCCCCAGTGGAATGACCCACATAGGATTTCAGTTCATGGTTTTGTCTATTAATTCGGAATGAGAAAAGACTATCACACACATTGATCCATAGATTGGTTGAACACCCACATACCAATGATTACCTCCCTCAACCTTTGAGAATAGCAATGAAACAGAGACGTCTTTTGGCATCTTTTGTCAAAAAGCGTCTTTTGGCAAAAAGACTTCTCTGACCCTTCACTGGAAAACAAGCAAATCGAGAGACATAGGCATACATTAAAGATGAATTATTCATTCTTTCCTTTCTGTATGCTGTCATTATATTTCACAACTTCTTTAAGAATGATAAGGAATCTTGTCCCACATTATTGGATAGATGGCACTGGTGTACCTATACTGGAACAGCTTGGCTAGAGGTATGGCACGTTCTGGAGTGCAGGTCTTCAGTACTATTGCCGGAATGTTGTGAGGGCTCAAAGACTTTGCAGTATCCAGTGTCTTCACCTCTTTCTTAAATTGGCTGAAGACTGGAATCTGTGATGTTAGGGACCTCCAGAGGAGACCAAGATGGATCATCTACTCAGCACTTCTGCATGAAGATTGCTTCAGCCTTATCTTTTGCATTGAGGTGCTGGACTCCACAATCAGTGAGAACGGGAATATTTATGGAGCTATCTCCTTCAGTGAGTTGTGGTGGGAGTGGCTGCCCTTGATATCAAGGCCACATTTGCCACAACGTGGCATCAGGAGCCTCAGTAAAACTGGAGTCAATGGGAATTAGCGGGGAAACCTGCAGTAGGTTGGAAACATACCTTGCACAATGATTATGGTTAGTGGGGGTCAGTCATCTCAGCTCCAGGGCATCTCTGCTGGAGTTCCCTGGGTGGTTTCCTTGACCCACCCATCTTCAGCTACTTTATTAATGATGTTCCCTCCATCATACTTAAGTCTGTGTCCAAATGCAGCAAGACCTAAACAGAAATAGTAAGAACTGCCAACGCTGGAGTCAGAGATAACACAATGTGGAGCTGGAAAAACACAGCAGTCCAGGCAGTGTCAGAGGAGCAGGAAAGTTGACATTTTGGGTCGGGACCCTTCCCTTCTTCAGAAGCAGGGTCCCGACCCAAAACGTCAACATTCCTACTCCTCTGATGCTGCAAGACCTGAACAGAATCCAGGTTTGGGATGACAATTGATCAATAATATTTACACCACATGAATGCCAGAATGAACAATTCCCACAAGCGAGAATCTAACTATTACCACTGACATTACCATCACTGAATCCCCAACTATCAACATCCTTGGGGGTTAACATTGACCAGAAACTCAACTGTACTCACCACATAAGCACACTGGCTATGAATACTATGGCAATTAACACACCTCCTGACTGCCCAAAGCCTGTCCACCATCACAAGGCCCAAGTCAGGCGTGCGATAGAATACTCCCCTGGATGGGTACAGATCCAACAACAGTCAAGAAGCTTGACACTATTCAAGACAAAGCAGCTGCTTGATTGGCACCACATCCACAAGCATCCACTCAAACCCCGAACCACTCCACCAGTGGATGCTCAGTAACAGCAGGGTGTGCCATCTACAAGAAGCATGGTAGAAATTCACCAAAGCTCCTTAGACAGCGCTTTTCAAACCACATCCATTGCTATCTAGAAGGACCATGGTAGTGGACATATATGAACACCACCACTGATGGCTCACAGCACCCTGTGGATACCCAGTCTTGAGTTGCTAGATGTGTTTGAGGTCTATTTCATTTAGCATACAAGATGATGGAGGGTATCCTCAATGTGAAGAAGGACTTTATCTCCAAAAGGACCATGCTAAAATCACTCCTGTGATGACCATTATGGACAGATGCATCTGTGGCAGGTAGTTTGGTGAAGGTCTGGTCAAGTGTGTTTTTTCTTCTTATTTGATCCTTCACCAGGTGCTGCACATGCAGTCTGGCATCTATGTCCTTTAAAACTCAGTCAGTAGTGGTACTTTTGAGCCACGTTTGGTGATGGACATTGGAGTCATTTTTCAGTGTACATTCTCAGTTCTTACCACACTTTATGCTTCCTCTAGGTTGTGTTCAACATTGAAGAGCTCTGAATCATCAGCTGGGTGGGAGGGTTGGTGGTGTGTGGTAATCAGCAGGAGATATCTTTGCACCATGTTTGACCTAATGCTATGAAGCGTCATGGTGTCCAGAGTCATTGTTGAGGACTCTAGGGCAACTCCCTCCTTGCTGTATGGCACTGTGCCACCACCTCTGCTGGGTCTGTTGTGCTGATGAACAGAACAAACACAGGAATGGTGATAATGGTTCTGGGACACTCTGTGTAACTGGCAATTGATATGACTAAGTTATTTGTTGTTTGAAAAGTCTGTGAAACTGCTCGCCTAATTTTGACACTGGCCCCAGATGTTCATATGGAGGATTTTGCAGCGATGACAGGGCTCAATTTGCCATTATTATTTCTGGTGTCCCAGTAGACAACAAGAACTCTTTCTGATTTTATTGCTTTTTGAGGCATTTTAGCAGTTTGATACAACCAAATGGGTTGCTAAGCCATCTCAGACCGATAGTTAAGAGTCAACCACATTGCTTTGTATCTGGAGTTACATATAGGGCAGACCAGGCAAAGATGGCAGATTTCTTTTCCTAAAGAGCATTAATGAATCAGATGGGCTTTTACAATAATTAGCAATGACTTCACAGTCATCATTAGACTTTCAACTTTTTTTTATTGAATTCAAATTCCACTTTCTGCCATGGTGTGGTTTGAAACCAGGTCACCACATCATTACATGGGTCTCTGGATTACTTGTGTATGACAAAAGCTCTGTGCCATTGCTTCCTACTGATCCGTTCTTGGTGATGGACATTGTCTGCTCTTGTAGCTCTCAAAAATTCCTCCAAATGGTGTTCAACATGAAGGAGCACTGATTCATCAGCTAAGTGAGGCGGTCAGTGATAGGTGATAATCAGCAAGAGGTTTTTCTGTTCATGTATGACCCAATGTCATGAGAGTTCATGGGGGCTCAAAGTCAATGTTGAAGATTCCCAGAGTCACTGCCTCCTTGCTTTATACCACTGTGCTGCCATCTTTGCTGGCTCTGCCTTGCCAGTGGGCCTGAGATAGAAATGGAGGAGATAGTCGGAACTGCAGATGCTGGAGAATCTGAGATAACAAGGTGTAGAGCTGGATGAACACAGAAGGCCAAGCAGCATCAGAGGAGCAGGAAAGCTGATGTTTCGGGCCTGGACCCTTCTCCAGAATTGGGGGAGGAGAAGGGGATTCTGAAATAAATAGAGAGAGAGGGGGAGGCAGATAGAAGATGCATAAAGGATAAGATAGGTGGAGAGGAGACAGACAGGTCAAAGAGGTGGGGGTGGAGGCCGGGTGTGTCTTTGTCATTTCCAGTGCTTAGGTTGATGCTGGGGTTGGAGGGATGTGGTGGGAGGGATGGGTTGGCAGGGGGATCCATCTGGTTTTATTCCTTCTGACTTTCTGTAGCATTTTCGTATCGCTGAGTGACTTGCTGGGCTATTTCAGGGGCATTTAAGAGTTGATCGCAACGATGTGATCTGGAGTCACATGTAGATCAGACTTGGTAAGGATGACAGATTTCCTTCCCTGACATGCACCAATGAACCCAATGGGTTTTTAAAGACAATCCAGTAGGTTCCTGGCCACCAATACTGAGGTTAACTTTTTATTCCATATCTATTGATTTCTTGGGAATTTAACTTCCACCAGCTGCCATTCTCCTGGCATCAGCTGAATGCAGGACAAACCAGATTGGTAAATGAGACATCAGGCGAGTATTGGGCTCCTTATTTTCATATGCAGATCTTAGATCAGGTCTGGGCCCTATATGGCTCTCTCATTGCTCATATCAATAATAAGGACTTTGGCCTTCCAGATCAGAATGTGACTGCAGACTGACCGCTATACGGGATACTATTCTGGCTCTTCACACCTGCAAAGCAGTACAACGCCATTACATTTCTACACCGAAGTTGCCATAGCAAAACGTGGGTTAAACATATTATAAAAAATCTGTACAACTAACTGAAACATGCAGAGTTCATATTCCCTCTGAATTGCAGCTTTTCTCCAGTTCTTCCTGGTATAGATTTACATTTCCATTTCAACTTTCTCTGATCCACCACGTGGGACCTCCACTGTATTGCTACGTGGAACAATTTTCCAGACTATGTCTTATTGCAGTTATTTATTTAAACCATAGCATGGAGATCATGGACCAATATGAATTCTTCTGTTTGATCTCTTCAATCATCACATCATTGTGTAGCATGAATAGGAATCTGGGCCAACATCTGTTCTTATTTGTTCAAATTGAACAGAGACTATGCCTTCCATTTGTGACCTTGATCATCAAGAACATCAGCTTGGAAGCAAATAACTAAAGTGTCCTCATTAGTACCTTTTGAAAAAAAAACTAAATTAATGGGTTGCCACTTGCCTTATAATGGAGGACAAAGGAATGTCATTAAAAATTGCATATTGTCAGCAAATATTATCTTTCGTAATTTCTCGGTTGCAGTTACTGGCCTGGAAATAGGTTGGTGCCAGTACAGTTGGACACAGAGTATATCCGATATTGGGCCTCAGGCATCATAGAGATGAACTCATCTGCTCGCTCTCCAAGGATGTACACTGTCTC